ATATAATTGTATAATAATTATATAATAAAATAAAATAGTACATAAATATTGGTAAATTATAATATAAATATTAATTATTGCAATAAATAGAAAATTCCAGGTATAAATTCTAGCTGAAATATATTTTTCACAATAAGTTTTTTACACTGTTTACACTGTTTACAGTGTTTTAAAATGCCAGTAGCGTCATTATCAAATCTTAATTAATCAATTGTGATCAATTATGACATTATTTCAATTTCAATTTATAATTGCGTTTCCAGATTAACAATAATAAGCGATGCGCAATTTATATATTGTCAGGACAAATCTATGTGCAGTTGCGCGAGGAGGGGGGAGAGGGAGGGAAGGGGAGAATTCTTTGTATAAAAATAAGAGAAAGTACAAAATAAACTTTTTTTGCCCGAGGCTTTGTATCCAAGGAAATTAAGTTTGATCAACAATTTTTAGATGTTAAAATAAAAAATTATTGTGGCTTTTGAAATAGTCGGAAAAAGTATAAAAAGATAGATTAATCAAAGAGTTTATGAATTCGACGATACAACCTCGGAGACAACTTTATTTACAGCAGCAGGGACACAACGTTTCCAGCAAAAAATTTCTCTCTTAAAATAAATAAAATTTAAATATTTTCTTTAGCCCCTGTCACTCGTAAAGTCGTGAACGTTATATAAACATGAGAGCATTTACAGTGTCTTTCCACAAACCATATCTTCGTTAAGTGAACGTTTTTTTTCAAACGATTTTCAAACTTGATTTTCTCAGAAATGAAGCTTTTTTTCTCGGATAAAAAAAATTGTATTCTGTCCTTTTGACTTACTTTTTACAGAGAATCATTCCTTATTTGGTTGCATTATAGATTTGTCTCCATTCTATATAATTGTAAAATATTTAAAGTTTAAAAAAATATTAAGCATCAAGATTTAATCCGATTTAATCTTAATCGTATTGGCCCTTTCCTTACTCGTGCAATTTATTCATATAGCGGTATAGATTAAAACTTATTGTAATTTATTCTCTATTTAATTTTTTTCTATTTCAAAAAACATCAAATTCATAAATTTAAACAGATTTAATTTTTCTAATTGAATGATAATTATATGTCGGATAATCCAGATCTCCAATTATCACGAACGATATTAATAAGAGTTTTCAATTTCCTATCTCATTTTTTCCGCGTGCACAAAGCGACTGTGCACGTCTACAAATCTATATTCCTCGATTTACACCGATTTGTTATACTTAGGAAAAGTTGCGACGCGTTAACCCGCTTTCCTAAGCGCGCTATGTTATGTAGTTTACGTTGGCACCCGATCCCGACAAGCCGCTTTGAGAATCCTAAGTCAACCCTAAGTCAATGCGAACTATCCGAGAGCCTCACAAAACCACCGTCGTTAACCAACAAACGCTCGACGCTGCGTGAGACACGCAGCGTTTGTAAGCCAATATTCACATACAACGCATACATATACAGTTGTTTGGAACTTGGACTTCTCGGATTGATCACGTGACACATCCCTAAGCAGATTGTTCGATTTTTTTTATCAGTCTTTCATCATTATGCCATTCGCTATTGTACTTAGTTAAATGATGAATTACAAGTGAAATCAAGCAAATCAACAAGTTTCGTATAGAGTGCTGATAACGAAAGATTATTTCCACGATATCATTGAATCTCAAAAATATTGCTATACCTACTGTTAAATTTATAATATCAAATTATATCCAATTTGGGTTATTTTTAATCATTTTTTATAGATTGATCTTATTCAATATATCGTTATCAATACATCATAGTAACGAAGTAAACAATTTAATACTTAATAAATAACTTAGTAAATAACGTTTATATTAATATATACTAACTATATATATTAATATAAATGTTATTTACTTTGAAATTAACTATAGAAATGGATTAAATTTTAACACATATGAAAGTTAAAAATAATAAAATATTATTTAATTCAAGGAATTAGAACCATTGCTTCTTTGATATTTAAATATTCAAATATATTTGATTGTTTTTTATGAACCCATTGCGCGTGCGTGTGTGTGTGTGTGTGTGTGTGTGTGTGTGTGTGTAGTTAATTCCTTATATGTAATTTATAATTTGCATGATTTTTCTGAGGCATTGATCAATCCATCAAAGTGGCACAAAATATCTGATATTTTTTGTGTCTTTATTTTCGTAGATATATGATTATCATAAAACAATTGTGCAGCTATATAACTACATATATGTTTATATTCTCACGTTGACCTTTCCTTTACTATTTTACATCAAAGAACTTTTTTCATTCGCTCCATTTTATTATCGCCAATATTTTCCTACTATTTATATTTCATGGGAAATGTTTTATGGAGAATCTTCGTGATGATGTATCTTCTCTAACGCTATATCTAATGATAGCGTTACCAAGGTTATCATGGTCCAGTTAATTCTACAACGCTTTTCTGCACACTCGTCCGAGTGTACGAAACGTGCAACGAATGAACAGGTTGCTACTAATTGACTCGGTAGATTGACGACCAATCGAAAGGCAAAGCAGGTCTTCGTCGTCGTTACTACCGGGTACGATCTTTGCGTTTCCTCTTGAACACGTTATTTTCAGTTTGTGACTACATGTCTTGCGGAGAGCAAGAGCATCACTTACGTAATCCGCAGATGTAACGCGCGCATTCACGAGCGAGCACGCGTGCTCATAGTAATTGAACATCGGTGAACTACGGGAAGGAAACGCGCGATGTATCGACAACGATAGCTTGTATCCGCGACGACCTTGTCGAGTGCACACGAGATTAGATGAACCAGGGTGTTGCTACATGCACCGTGTTGCATAATGTAAATAGCACCTACACAATGCTTCTGAGTTTATCCATTCCAGATTTTACGTTGTCTTCTAAATAAATTAATTTTTATATTACCATCTCATTATTGAATGATAAAAACGTGCTCTAAACTCTCATTATGTGCTATAAACAAGGAAAACACAATTATATACGGCACAATTTTT